CTGTAATAAGGGTATTTATAAAAGACTTTCGTTAATGTTAAGTCTAAGCCTTATTGCTGTTAAAAAGGGGTTTTTTGAAAGCACATTGAAAAACCAGGTTTCAACATAGGACATAATCATGATGTTATAAATCCGGCTATTTACAATGCTTTTTTCATTTAAAAAAAAATCCGGCGAAAAGATATCAGTTTAATCAAGTTAGGAGAACTCGATGTCTCACAGGCGAATATGTCATAAGATGAAATAGCAATACATGCTAGACAATAGAAGAACATTTGTATCATTTGCATAATATTTACCAGTTCTGCTAGATATCTTTCTTCGGATAGCTTAGCGAGATCATAGGGTGTTCGACTGTCCCTGTTTTTCAGGCGTTTGGCAATATCTGCACCAGGGTACTCGAGGAGGATTTTACAGAGACCAGGCAGTCCGTAATGGGCAGCAAAGTGTAGCAGAGTGGGGTACAGCTTGCTGCTGCGCGGGTCGCAATCTGTAAACAGGACAAAACCCAGTATGTCAGATAACGATTAAGTTAATATCATCATTTATCATGGAAAAGATCAAATATGCACAACATACCAAACATAACTAGGACCAGTAACATTAAAATATTTGTAATATTGTAATATACTGTCATATTCTGGAGAAGAAATGTTCGTTAACAATCTGTACATTTTATCATATCCCAAATAAAAGTTAAACATGATATTGATGTCAAACATCAGGTGGATATACACTCCATGCAATCTTGATATTCCTGCACACAGTACTCATCAATAGAAAAATATTCATACGCCAGCATGTACTAATATTTTCTACATATTTCCAAATATCGGTATTCTGTCATTCTAGTTTTACTCAACGATAATAAATGTCTTTTTCGAATTCTCAATTAATCAATTACATTTTAAAAGACCGATGGCGATACAATGTAACGTTGCAGCATTACAAACGTGTAAAATCGGTAGCGAAATCTTTGAAGCCAATTCTGAAGAAAGCAAACCTTATTCGACGATGTGTTTCTTCTTCGTTTTAAAAATGTACCGACTAAAATATCACGACCGCTATAGAGGTGAACGATTCAAGTTATAACTAACAACACTAATTGAATTATTAATTAAAATACACAAATATATTAATCTTCTGCAGTAATGCATGTTTCTCTATCCCAACTCAACTATTTTATACTGAATTTGTAATATGCATTGGACATATGCTATTGACCTTTTAGGCTAAACTTTGGTGAATTTTCAAATTTCCCATGTCTGTTTTGAGTGTCACATGTGAAAACGAATTTAAACGGAGAGCAATCTTTCGAAAAATCAGCATTGCTCATAAAAATAAACAAACCGTCGAAGTTGGAGTTCCCGGTCATCAGGTTGTTCATCGGCTCAGAACATTTGCCGTTAGAAAATCTGTCTACAAAATCAGTATCTAAAGCATCCTTTGTCTTCTCCGAAACTCCCATGGCGTCACACATGAAGGTTACTGGGTTGATGACGTCAGCGAGCAAATCCGAGAACACCTCCGTTTGTGATTTGATAATCACTGAACAGATCCCAGCATACTCGTCGCCAACTTTCACTTCGATTTTCTTCTCACCGTGAGTAAGTCCTATAAAATGATAGACTGTTATTTCATCACAAGTTACAATAATCAGATTAGGTATTCAAAGTTGACTT